GCAGTCTGGCTGGGCACAAATCAGACCACTTGAAGATTCAAGCAGGAATGAACTTTATTTTTTGAACTCACGCCTCATGCTGCCCACGCAAACTCTCCAGGAAGTCATGAGAGCTCTACCGGAACTTTGGGAAGTTCTCGAGCACTCAACTGGAACTCCACCCGTGAACTCCACCCGCGTGAACTCTCTAGGAACTCCGAGAGACCTCAAAAACAGCGGGCACCCGAGGCAGCAGGAACCGCTCCTTCTGGCAAAATGCCAGGCACCATCTTGACCTGGCCGTGGCTCTCAACAGTCCTGCTGTCCTCCAGTGGCCTTGACCTCTCGTCTTCACTTGGGCACTGTTAAAAACTCCCTCCTGGGGAAATGTGCCTCATCCTCCTGCTAGTGCTGTGTCACAGAGTCTTGTCCTGGTGACTCACGACTCCTTCCTATCTCTGCAGATGGCACAAGGGTCTGTTGGATGCTCCTTCCTCTTCTCTCACAGTTTTCTGAATTTCACTCCCATCCCTAATCCAAGATCACCGCTATTTCTTTCCTGAATTGTGGCCTCCTTATGGGCATGAAACCAGAAGTTCAAAAAACCCCACACTGATCCACGCACTGAGGGCAGGAGGGCTACACAGCCCCCACCTTCACCCCACTGCTCCCTGCACAGACATCTCCCTGGGCATGTGCCAGGTGTCCACGACTGGGAGCTTGCTGCAACTTTTCCTCCTAAGCCACACGTGGCCTGCTGTCCCCATTTAAGACTGGACTGTTGGGGAGACCACAGGGGACCATGCTTCCAAGGCCTCAGACTTCTGCAGAACTGAATTGAGATAAGTTCTGAAGTTCTTCTCTGAGGCTAACCTACCATCACACTTTCAAAGGAAAAAAATGAGAAACACTGTAGGAAACCAGAGGAAAACAATGTGCTTATTTTCATCTAAAAGATAACTTAAAATCATAATAATAGTATATTGGGTAACTGTAGTATCTGAATAAGAAAAATGAAAAGCTACAATGTTACAAGTTACAAGTCATGGGAGGGTAGAGGCAGGCACACGGTTGTAAACACGTTACATATGAAGGTATGTAGAAAGGGGACCCAGATTAGTGAAAAATACTTGTTGCAAATTCCAGGAAAACCACGGAGGATGTTAAAAGCGGTATAATTGATATGCTAAGAGAAAGATAAAGTAGGATGATATAAAGGGCTCAAATAAAATGTGGAGTGGAGAAGAAGCAAAGAACAAAGGGGAAAACAGACACCACATGATAGCTGCTCGTCTAACTGATCGCCTTCACTATGAATGGTCCAAATCCACCACAAAAGCAGAGAACTTCAGATGGGTAAAAAAATGAGGGGGAAAAAAACCCCGCAGAACACAGCTTTATGTTCTTTATAAGAAAAGCATTTTAAATACATGTGCTCAGAAAGGTTAAAAGTAAAGGGACAGAAAACAGTCACAGCACACAGCGCAGTCACACCAGTCAGAAGAGAGCTGCGTAGTGCACGGGTCTCAGATGACACAGCTCAGAACAAGGGCATCATGTGGAAGGGAGGTGTGAGCTCACAGAA